TGGTGCCCATAAGCGTCTGGATCTTCTGAACGGCCGTCTCGAGCTGAGGGCGGGCCGCGTCGGACTCCGTCTTGGACTGCATGAGTGTGTTCTTATCCGTCTCGTCCATGTCTTCTGGATCCGCAGTTTCGAAGGTGTCGTAGTCAATGACGATCGTGCTGCCCATCGGCGCGTCGCCCGCCTGCTCCCTCTGCAGCGTGTAGAGAGCCTCCTTATATGTGGCCTCCGCCTCGGCCTGGTCGCTTATCCTGTCCATGTGCACGGTGGTGGCCACGTCGAGCTCCGTGCGGGCCCGTCGCACCACCGCAGTAGCTCGTTGTGCGGCCTGCTCCGCCTTGCGTTGCTCTTGCTTGGCCTGCTGCGCAGCTTCCCAAGCATCCGTTGGCGGTGGCTTCTTGTACTTGACGAGGATAAAAGCTTTGATGGCCTCAGCGGCCTCCGCTGGGAAGTCAGAAGCCTGTAACAAGTCGCGCATCAGCTCAGTACTCGTGCATGAGTCCTGGTGACTGGAGAGCTTGCTCGGCGCATGGTTCCACGGGTGCCATAAGTCGACCTGCTTCCCGCACTGGCAGTACCCGACATTGGCGATGAACTTGTAATTCCAGGCCCAGCTCTGGCAGCAACCGCACGTGTTCCATGCGTGCCCATACTTCTTTCCCAAACAGACTGCTCCTCGAGTGAACGGGTGCAGGCGAGAGAGTGGGGCGCACCACCCCTCGCTGAAACAGATGTCGGACTGAACAGTCCTGGCGCTGCTGCGGAATAGCAGTTTCCAGTCAGGCGCGGAGGCGCGGAGCCCCAAGCGCAGGCATCTGGAGCCAAAATCGCTACGGAGGAGGAGGAGGAGGAGGAGGAGGAGCAAGAGGAGGAGGAGGAGGAGGAGGAGGAGGAGGAGGAGGAGGAGGAGGAGGAGTGTGAGGAGAAGGAGGAGAAGGAGGAGGAGAAGGAGGAGGAGGAGGAGGAGAGGAAGGTGGGAACGGTCGGGCGACGAGGGCACAGAAGAGGGAGAAGAGAGGGAGGCGGCTGTGCCATGCAGCGGGGGAGGCGGCGGGATGGTTTGGAAGGACGAGGTCACGCGGAGGAGGAGCAGCAGGAGATCGTTTGATTGTTCTGCGATGCGGCCGGACCTAGGACAGACATAATAAAATCCTTTAAGACCATGTGACCCTCCGCTGGCCAAGCTGGAGAACATTCGAGGGTCCCCTTCCCCTAGGATGCACAAGAACGTCCAACCAACACGCCCCGAGGTCTTAGCCCCGCCCGAGGGGAGGAGGGCGGCGGGGTGATGCGGGATGATGGAGTGGCGGGATGATGCGGGGAGGGAGGAGTAGGGGGACGGCGGCGTGCCTCCGACGATCAAATACTTTTGAGCCGCCGGCCCCCAAACCTCCCGAACACTTCCCCAAGACCAGCTTTCCGCCGTGGATCTCTGTTTGGCGGGCCCGGGTCCCTGAAACGCCTCTTGAATCTGAAGGCCTCGAAAAGCCGCTGGCGCAACATTTGCCGAGCCGCCCTGAGCCCAGCGAAGGGACACGTCGTCGGCCACGAAGCGGAAAGGGAGAGGGGGTGCACAGAGCGCGGGGCAGAACGAGGGGGGGCGCGCGACCCCCCTCCACTACACCAAAAGAGAATACTGTCTGATGGGGGGAACCAGAGGGGGGGGACTAGTTCGGGTGGGGGGGGAACATCGACTTCGAATCGGCGATACATCGGCGATGGGCCCTGATACCGAACACTGCGTGAACAGAAACTGTAAGAGGTCCACGCATAGTCCTTGGATCGATGCTGGACCCCGTGGCAGCGCCTTCGGCGCCGACCCTGGCGCGCTCCGAACTCCGGGGAAGGGGGCTCAGCGTGGATCCAAGAGGTCCGTGCGGACCTCAAAACGCTTGCGCTTACATGGTGGGGTACAGAAGCCCTGGATCCCAACATGTTGCCATCTCTTGGGGCGGGGCGTCTTTTCTTTCCGCCGCCTTCTGGCGGCCTTCCACCGAGGAAGAAATATCAACTCCTTCGATCCTTGAAGGCAAGGCCCTTTCTGGAGCGCCCCACATAGCTTGTGGCTACTCGAGACAATTTTTGTCGGTCCAGCTCCCCGCTGGCGCTTCGGTGCGAGGGTGCAGGCGAGGGGGGAACGACAGGGGGGGATTGGCCCAGGGGGGGGGGAAGAAACATCCACCTGGAATCGAGGATACATCGCCGATGGATCGGCGATAATGCCCCCAATTTTATGTTAACTACTCCCATCGCACTTAAGGACCGTATCCCAGAAACAATTTCGAGCACCCAGAGAAGTAGCGAAACAGTGTCGAACGAGTATCGCCTCCCAGGGCCCGATACGCGAAAACCCGCCAGTTTCGGTACCTTCCTCGTGCACGAAATTCTTTCTGGTGGTCGAGGTTAAAGTAGGTTGGAACATCATAACCCTAATGGCGAACCCGCACGCTCCTGGGCGGGCTATCGGGCCCCTGCCAGCGATGAGTGGCCGAACACCTTCAACTGCTTTCCGCCATGCTGCTGTCACGACACGACGAAGTGGGGTGCCGATCCCCGCCCTGGTGTTGCCGCCCCCCCCCCATCCCTGAGCCTACCTCCCCACAACGTTGCCCCTGACCGTTGTCCTGCTGCAGCGAGACCAGCCAAAGGTGTCACGCCCCCGAAGAGCCATCTCCGGCGGCCGCCGCCGGCCGGATCTCGTCCAGCCGCGCACACCGCCCGCGCCCGGGCAGGGGCCGCGGCGGGCTCAGCCTGCCACGGCCTCGCCAGGGGGCGGCCGTTGTGTCGCGTCACCCGAGGCCGCCGCGACCCTTGCGGGTGGTGTCCTGGTGGGGCACCGCCGAAAGCTCGGCGCCCCAACGCTGCGCCGGGCCGCTGGCCACCGCCACGGCCCGCTCCCCGCCCACCCGCTGCGCGAAGGCGCATGCTGACGGAGGTGGCGCTGTCGATCCCAAGCCCAGCGGGCAGCGGCCCTCTGAATGACGATGCCGCTTGTTGGTGTCGGCTGCTGCGTTCGCTGCGCCCTCGTGCCATGCACTTGCAGAACGCGCTCCCGCACACCCTGGCACGGCGCTCCAAACCGTGACGACCGCGGGGGGTGGACAGCTGGCTGCCAAACCGTGGACACCATACTCGCGGCGAGCGGTTTGTGGCCGACCGCAAGCTTCGCAGAGACTGGGCTGCTGAATGAGACGCCCCTCGCGTGTAGCACGGCGCGCAGTGCCATGCTCACTGGCCCCAAGCCAGGACGGGGACCTGGCGGGCAGCGTGGAGGCCGCACTAGCTGTGAATGCGCCCCCGGGACGTTCCTGCTGCCGGCCTGGATCGGCTACGCGCAAGAGCGACCTTTCGCCAGCGTGGCCATGGCGCGCGGCTTTCGGTGGGGGCCAAACACAAACACGCAGGCTGCCACTGTCGCACCGTTGTCAGAAAGAGCAACATAGACATAAGCTTTCGGAGGTCTGCGCGGACTTCTTGGATCTGTGCTGGCCGCGGGCGCCGCCAAGGGGGCCCAGCGCCGATCCGAGGGCTCCACGCGGAGCTACGGATGTGTGTTCATGCAGCTTTCACAGACTCGAATCGTACGCAACGATCGGCAAGCCGCGCACCAAAAGTCACTATACCCTAGGGCCACTGAGCGTGACGGGCGAACAGTAGGAGGGGACTGGCCCAATGAGAGAAACATCGACCTGGAATCGGCGATACATCGCCGATGGATCGGCGATTGGCCCCCGATGGCGAACCCGCACGCTCCTGGGCGGGCTATCGGGCCCCTGCCAGCGATGAATGGGCGATTGGGGGTCGATGCGTCCCCCCCCACCCCCGAGCCCCTAGAACTCCGTTGTGACTGTTGTCGCATCATCGGTCCCCAAAGGTCTGGACCCCTTGACCGCTTTTTCATCCAGGGTCGTCCTCTGACGGCTCTGGGGCCCGGAGAAAGCCCTGCGGGGGCCAAACACCGCCAATAGCTTTCCGTCGTGCTGTCTCACGACGAGAAGAAGTGGGGGCCTATCCCCCCCTAATGTTGCCCCTCCATACCCCTACTGAAACCTTCACGTGATGCTCTACCTAAAGCTTAACCTAAATATTCACTCGCGCTTTCAATGTTAAACTATGAAAGTTTATCCTCACCTAGCACTTCACTTCAATCCTTCACCATGTTATTCCACTAAATCTTCACTCACGCTCTCACCTAAATCGCCACTTACCTATTAATGTAAGTATGCAGTCGTGCTCTCGCTGATGTAAGTGAAAATTTAGATGACGACTTAGGTGAGAGCGTGAGTGAATATGCAGGTGGAGATTTAGGTGATGATTGAGGTGGACGGAGAGAGCGCGAATCAAAATTGAGGTGAAGACTCAGACGAATACATCCGCGCAGGCATTATCCCGCTCCTTTTCCGCCTCCTTTTCATGCTCTTGCCCCTTCTGCCCCCTTCCCCCCCTTCTCCCCCTCCTCCCAAGGGGGCTCCTGGAAACTTCTACGAGGAGCTCCAGGCCCCCCCCCCTGCCTCCTCCGAAGACAGCCTGCGTGGACATCAGTTCTGGATGACCTGGACGCGCTGCTGGATGGGCTCCCCGTCGTGGGCAGGCTTCGGTTCACCACAGACCCTTCTGGGCGGATGCCCCAGTACATGCTGATACACCTCCCTGATCAAAGCAGCTCGCCTGGCGATCGTTTATGGATAAGTTGCTGGGGATACTTCTTTGGTCGCAATCGCACCGGGAGACGCCGGACGCCGTCCAAGAGTCGCGGCAAGCGGGCTGCGAGCGAATTGCGCACCAGGAGGAGGGAGGCGAAGCAACGAGAAGACAGCGGAGGGAGGGGCTGGTGGGGATACGCCAAGCGTCACGGATGTTCCTTGTCGTGTGTGTTGTGCAGCCTGACGTTTCGAAAACCACTCCCTCCTCGCCTTCCCCTCCTCCCCGACACCTCCCTTCCCCATCCCTCCTCCCTCCTCTCACGCCTCCTTCCTTCTTCTCTTCCTCTGGGGGAATACCAGGGTGCAGAAAAGAGAGGACGAGGGAGGAGGTGGAGGCGAAAGCAGAAGGGTGGTGCAGACTTTTGCTGGGATCGTCGTCCCGCCAGCAGTTCAACGCAGCACCCACGGCCTGACGACGGCCGACGCACAAATTGCGCGAGCACAACGGGTGCGCGCGCGGAAAACGTCGTGCTCACGCGAATTCAGTAGACTGCTTGGGGCGAGCTCTCGGAAGTTTTCGGTGTTCTCTAAGCCTTCTCGGAAACTCTCCGAGGTCTCCAGGTGATCGGACAAGAGGGGGAGAGAGAGAGAGAGAGAAAACAAACAAAATAAAGAGATAGAGAGAGACACCTATTCATACATATATATATATACTAGAACCTTCGCGCGCGCTCAAGTTCTAGCTAGGCTTGATGGGCGAACACATGGAATATCATCCTTGTCGTTTCTTGCATCCAGGGACTCTCTCGGATGCCCTGCGCAAGCCTCGGAATCGTATAGAAGGGGAACTGCGGAAACACACAAATCATTAATTGCCGTTAGGTATTCAACGATTTCGGGCCCTCGAAGGCTTCCTGGGTTCTTTTCTGGGGCCTTAGTTGTGGTCTGTTGTGCAAACATAGAAGACAACGGGCGAACTTGAGAGAGAAAAAAAAACGGGTGGTGGGATTCCCCTTCTTTTCAAGTTGTAGTGCCTGGGCTGTGGGTTAGACGTTTTCTGCATGCAGGCCACGGACTGTTGGGATGCCTCTCGGGGTCTTCGGGCAAAAATAAGCAGGGGGTGATTTTTTTTTTTTTTTGTTTTCTTTTTTTTTAAAAAAAAAAAAAAAAAAAAAAAAAAAAAACACTGCTTCAACTCATGGGATCATGGGATATGGTTGTTTACGGTTGTTTCAGGGGCAGCCAAGAGGACACGAAGACGCTCCAAGAGAGTGCCAAGACAGCGTCAGAGAGTTCAACAGCATTCCCGACGCATGTTTGCATCTGACCCCGAAGTCTTGGTGGGGCTCGAGGAAGAGGATAGGGAGTAGGAGTCCCAACTTGAAAAAACAACATCTGGAATTCCCTCTTTTTGTTGTTCAAATTCCTCGGTCTTAGAGCGTTGGAAGCGGGAAAACGTGAGACGGCGAAAAGCGTAGACAACAATTACTGGAAAGCAACGATTTTACCCTCTTCGGGCTCTCTCGGGACGCCTCTCGAAGCTGTTTGGGGGACCTCGTCGGGGATTTGGGGGAGCCTCTCAGGGGTCTGGGGTGTGTTGGAAGCCTCTGGGGGGTCCCAAAGCTCTCTCAGAGGTCTCTGGAGGCCTCCTGCTCCCGCTCTTGGGCTCATCTTGGGCCTGTTCTGGGGTGGTCTGGAGCTGTCCTGGGCGCCTCTTCGGCAGTCTTGGTGCCGTCTTGGCCTGCCTTGGGGCCGGTCTTTGGGACCTCTTCGGCCGTCTTGGAGCGTTGAAAGCATGAAGTGGTGAGAAGGCCAGAAACCATCAATAAAACATGACAAATACAGATTTTAGGTTCTCCAAGCGCTCTCGGGAGGCCTCTCGGAAACCTCTTGAAGTCTCTTGAAGGCCTCCTGGGAGCCTGGAGAGCCGCCCGAAGCCTATCCTGGGTTACTCTGGAGCGTCTTAGGCCTTTCTTTGACGTTCGTGGGGCTTCTTGGGGTCGTCTTGGGCTGTCCTTGGGCGTTTTGGGGGCTCCCCGGGAGGTCGGGAAGCGCGGTACCTGAAGCGTTCCGCAGATGTTCCGGGAAGGTGTGGGCCCCTGGGAGGAGGAGGCGCGCATTTATTGAATTCTTGGTAGAGAAAGAAAAAAGAAAACATGAATATATGAAATCCCTATTGCTTTTTATCCCTCGGTCTTGGAGCATTGGAAGCCGGAAAACGTGAGAAGGCTGAACAAGTCGACGCGAATCACTGAAAATCAACGTTTTTACTCTCTTCGGGCTCTCTCGGGACGGCTCTCGAAGCTCTCTTGGGCTGTTTTGGTGGGGGGCTCGTCGGCGCTTTTTGGGGGGCCTCTCAGGGGTCTGGGGTGTGTTGGAGGCCTCTGTGGGGTCCCAAAGTCCTCTCGGAGGTCTCTGGCGGCCTCCTGCTCCCGCTCTTGGGCTCATCTTGGGCCTGTTCTGGGGTGGTCTGGAGCTGTCCTGGGCGCCTCTTCGGCAATCTTGGCGCCATCTTGGCCTGCCTTGGGGCCGGTCTTTGGGACCTCTTCGGCCGTCTTGGAGCGTTGAAAGCATGAAATGGTGAAAAGGCCAGAAACCATCAATAAAACATGACAAATACAGATTTTAGGTTCTCCAAGCGCTCTCGGGAGGCCTCTCGGAAACCTCTTGAAGTCTCTTGAAGGCCTCCTGGGAGCCTGGAGAGCCGCCCGAAGCCTATCCTGGGTTACTCGGGAGCGTCTTGGGCCTTTCTTTGACGTTCTGGGGGCTTCTTGGGGTCGTCTTGGGCTGTCCTTGGGCGTTTTGGGGGCTCCCCGGGAGGTCGGGAAGCGCGGTACCTGAAGCGTTCCGCAGATGTTCCGGGAAGGTGTGGGCCCCTGGGAGGAGGAGGAGGCGCGCATTTATTGAATTTGTTAGAGAAAGAAAAAAAGAAAACATGAATATATGAAATTTCTATTGTTTTTTATCCCTCGGTCTTGGAGCATTGGAAGCCGGAAAACGTGAGAAGGCTGAACAAGTCGACGCGAATCACTGAAAATCAACGTTTTTACTCTCTTCGGGCTCTCTCGGGACGGCTCTCGAAGCTCTCTTGGGCTGTTTTGGTGGGGGGCTCGTCGGCGCTTTTTGGGGGGCCTCTCAGGGGTCTGGGGTGTGTTGGAGGCCTCTGTGGGGTCCCAAAGTCCTCTCGGAGGTCTCTGGCGGCCTCCTGCTCCCGCTCTTGGGCTCATCTTGGGCCTGTTCTGGGGTGGTCTGGAGCTGTCCAGGGCGCCTCTTCCGCAGTCTTAGGGCTGTCTTGGCCCGTCTTGGGGCCGTCTAGGGGGCCTCTTGGGCGGTCTTGGGGGCCTCTTCGGCCGTCTTGGAGCGTTGGAAGCATGAAGTGGTGAGAAGGCCAAAAACCATGAAATAAACAATGACAAATAACGATTTTAGGTTCTCCGGGCGCTCTCGGGAGACCTCTCGGAGCTCTCTTGAGGTCTCTTGGGGGCATCCTGGGAGCCTGAAAAGCCGCCCGAAACCTATCCTGGGTTACTTGGGCGCGTCTTGGGCCTTTCTTCGACGTTCTGGGGGCTTCTTGGGGTCGTCTTGGGCTGCCTTTGGGCATTTTGGGAGCTCCCCGGGAGGCCGGGAAGCGCGGCACCGGAGCGTACACCAGATGTGAGCGAGGGGGCGGGCCTATTTGTTTATATATATATATAGAGAGAGAGAGAGAGAGAGAGAAAGAAAGAGAGAGAGAGAGAGAGAAAGAGAGAGAGAGAGAGAAAGAGAGAGAGAGGAGACAAAAAAGGGGAGGTGAAAATACGGTCATCGTGCTACTGTAAGGAACTCCAGAAGAGGAGCGACGGGGCTTTTCTGGCCACGGCGAGCCTTGGCCGCGAATAGGTCCCCCGACTGTGACCTCGATCGAAGGAACGGTCCGAAAATCAGCGCCCCTCCTGAGCCCAAGGTGGTCCTTATTCCAGCGTCTTCACTGTACATACCGCCAACAGGCCTCCGCAACCTCCGCAGCCCCGTCTGGGTCCACATCTCCAGGGGGTCCCAAAACGGTGCGGTGACAGACCGCGTTGTGACCCCGAAATCCCGAAGGACCTCACCGCACGGTCCGTCACCACACGATTTGTAGACCCTGGAGGCCCCAATCGTCCGAGACATCATCGGAGAACGACCCAAGTCCCAAAACCGTGCTGTGACCCAGAGCCTCCAATGACTCACCACACGGTGTGGTCACTACACCTTTTGGGGGCCTCCGAATCTTGGCAGACTGATCTGGCACTCTGGCTCGGCTCGCACCGAGCACCCACCAAGATCTGTGCCCGAGTGGGGCCCGTGGCGCCTGGTGGCGGGCACCTGCTTGCCATCTCCCGATGGAGAGGGCAACGACCGAGTGCCGAAGACTGCCACCACCGGCGGCAACAGAACCAGCGGCAAGAGGAAGAGACAACGGCGTAAGCAGAAACTGTCGGAGCTCCGCGCAGATTTGTTCGGTCGGAGCTGGGCCCCCCTGGCGGCGCCTCTGGCGCCGCCACTGGCGCGCTCCGCGCGCCAGGGAAGGGGGTCCAGCGCCGATCGAAGAAATCCGCGCGGAGCTCCGACAGTTTATGCTGATGCCTTTGTCCTTCTTCAAGACAGTGGGCGTGACATGCGACGACGCCTCACGCGCGCTTCTGCTGCCGGAGGGCCTTCTCCCTGTAGTGGGCCTCGTGGTCGCGGGCGGTCCCGTGCAAATAGTCCAGCAGGCCGACGTTGCCGAAGTTGCAGTTGAACAGCTCGTGATGCAAATCATGCACGTTGGGCTGGTGGTCCAGGACGGTCATCCAAGGCCACTTGTGGCCGCTGTGGTGCGTTTGTGTGCCCATGACTGCGTTCGCGACCCAGCAATACGCGAAGAAGATGTTGAACTGGTAGACGCTGCATATGCCGAGGAAGGGCCAGAGGTTGGACAATAACATCTCGATCGGCCCGCAATAGATGGCAGCGAGCGCAAACGGGGCGGTAAACTCGTGATGCTGCTTGTGTACTTTCGCGTACAGCGACTGGGAGTGAAAGAGCCTGTGGGAATAGTAAAACATCACCTCATTCCACAGGAGCCCGACCACGAAGCACGTCAGCTGCTCCTGTAGGTGGCGACATTCGAACCCTACCCCACCAATCATCGATTCGGAATCGATAGGAGGCGGAGGCAAGGCTCGGATTTCGCCATGTGTTCGACGAACTCCGAACACGCCCCCCAACAAAAAACTGCATAAGGACAAACTTTCGGAGGTCCGCGTGGATTTCTGGGATAGGAGCTGGAAGCCCTTCCCTGGCACGCGGAGCGCGCCAGGGCCGGCGCCGGAGGAGTCGCCAGGGGAGGCCCAACGCCGATCCAAAAACTCCGCATGAACATCAGATAGCTTATGTTTATGCCGTTGTTTTCTTCTTCGACCTCTCCCCCGCCGCCAATCGAGTGGCCTGAATCGCTGATCGGCGAGGGCCGCCGATCCTGCTTGCTGGGCAACGGCAGGGCCCCCGAGCCAGCCCCCGCGCCAGCGATCCGAATGCCGCGGGACCCGCGGGACCAGACGGAGTGAGCTGTCGCGGCCAGCAGGTCTTCCGGCCCCCGCCTGCCCGGGGGCGGCCCTCGAGGGCGGAGGAGCAGGTGGACGGACGGACGGACGCCATCTCGGCAAAGCTGTCCCGTGGATGGGGGTGGGCGCGCAGAGCACGGAGCGCTCAGCACAACATCTGCAGCAATCGGACTTCAGTATCATGCCGCGTCTGCTCGAGGGCGGAGGAGCTTCCAGCACAACGGGCACCCAGGGAACCGAAGCCCTGCCGCACACGAGCCGAGGGGAGGAATCGAACAGGACAGCAAGACTGTGCAGTGAACGCACGGGTCGGGCTTGCAAACGACAGCTGCGGGGGTCGGGGTCGGTTCCTCCTCCCTCGAAGAATGGCGTTCGAGATGTGTGGCTGTTCTTTTTCCCCTGTGCGTCCCGTACGGCCATCGTGCTACCATAAGGAGCGCCGAGTAGGGAATGACGGGGCTTTTCTGGCCACGGCGAGCCTCGGCCACGAATAAGACCCTAACCTAGATCGAAGGAGCGGTCCGAAAACCATAGCCTTTTCTGAAGAGGAGGAAGAGGAGGAAGAGGAGGATGAGGAGGAGGATGAGGAGGAGGAAGAGGAGGAGGACGCGAAGGCGGAGGAGGAAGAGGAGGAGGCGGAGGAACAGGAGGAATATTGTCAATAGGAGAAAAAGGGAACAATCTGGCCACCAGACACCTGGGACCACCAGACACCTGGGAGACCGCCCTGTCTAATTTTGAGAGGCTGACCCACCCGCTGTGACATCTCGCGGGAACAAGCGGATTGTCGAGTTCGATGTTAGCGTCACTGGCCAAGAAGTCCAGAGGTCTGCTTCACACAAAGTAGTCCATGTTATATGACTTATCGCCTCCATCATACGCGTGCGAGGGAACTACTGGGTCAAAAGACAGACTTCCATGTACTGTACGGTATCACCTTGCACCCCTGACCGAAGCTCACCTGCCTCCATGATCCAATCATTCCCACAAATGTATGGCACGCCGTTCGCGAACATGTGGTTGACTGCGCCTCAACAACTTCAATACTCCTCCCAAGCATTTTCACCGAGTCCTGAAAATACACAAAAAGTCGAACCCAAGGATGCGGACTTTTGAGGTCCCGAGGAAGCAGAGGGCAATATGTTTAGCTCGAGCAGTCGACCTGCCATGTGTCCTCGTCCTCCTCCTCGTCCTCCTCCTCCTCCTCCTCCTCCTTTCCTGGCTCTGCTGTAGATTCGCGCTTCGCGACGCGCGAAGGGGCGGCCGTCGCCGCGCGCTCGCGGCGCCCCCCTGGATGTAGGGCAGCTCCTGGGCCTGACGAGTGCGATCACCCCCGCGTGTGACCGGGGCCATTGCCGTTCCCAGGTGGCGAGATCCGAACCCTGCTCCCGCCAACCATCGACTCTTCTGAATCGATCGGAGGCGGGTGCAGGGGCAGGTTTCAGATTTCGCCACGAGTTCGACGAATTCCGAACTTACCCCTGCCGCCCATGGACATGCCCGAATCGTTGATCGGCGAGGGTAGGGTTCGGATTTCGCCGCCGGGGTCCTTCTGACCCCGCTCCTCTTCCAACCCGTGGGGCGATCTCGTCAACCTCCCCCCTGTTCCTCCCTCCTCCTCTTGGAGGAAGAAGAACAACATAAATATAAACCAAACTTTCGGATGTCCGCGCTGCCTTCTTGGATCGGCGCTGGACCCACGGAGCACGTCAAGAGCGGCACTCGAGGCGCCGCCAGGGGGGCCCAACGCGGATCCAAGTCTGCGCGGACCGCCGACAGCGTTTTTCCTTACAGCCAAAAGCCTAATAAGGACGCGCGACTTTGCTCAGGGTACCCTTGCGTCCTTGCTCTTCCTTGCTCTTTCGTCCTTGAGGTTTTCGTCGTTCGCCGCCCCAAAAATCCCAACTTCGGCTCCCAAGGGTCTTGCGTCCTTACCGCGCCTCCTTATTAGGGTTGTTGACTGCATCCATCCCTTAGAGGAGAAATTGGCGCACCAAATCACCCCCGCGGAGCTCCGCGCGTGCCCCCCTCTCCAGGGTTCGTGGGAGCGGCGAAGGCCTCTGGGATAGAGCAGGGTCACGACCGCGTTGACGGCCAGCGACCTGACCAGCTTCCCCACTCGGACCTGCCCTGAGGCGTTGAAGCGGGTACCAGGTTGGATCTTGATGGGCCGGACGCCCTCGTGACACCGACGCCGACCCTTGGAGTCAACGCGAACACTAAGGATGCACGATCAGGATGCACGAGCCTCGGAAGGCCATTTCGACATCTTCCGAGCGGGGCGCGGCCAGCGAAAGTGGCCAAGGATTGGCCGAAGGGGGAAAATCCTAACTATTATGCGCGTTGATTGTGTACATCCAGCTTCCAGGTCAGACCACGGCGAACGTACCTCTCTTACGACGTCGGGGTCCCAAGGGTTGTCTGCGGCCCCGGGGCCATCCGAATATAAGGAACAACGAAAAGGTCACGACGTCGGAAGCTTCTCCACCAACATCCACCAGCCCAGTCCGTGTGCGGTCTATGGGGCCATTGGAAACTCACTTTTCAGCTATCCTGGGCATGACTTCGGGCTGCCTTGAAGCCTCTGGGGCAAGTTCTGGGAACTCTTAGAAAACTTGTTTCAACTTGTCGTTTCGCGTGGTGATTTAGGAAAAGGGAGAACGATAGGCCGGCGGCTGTTCTTGCGGACTCCGTCCGAAGCGCAGTCGATACCCACTTTTTTTTCGGACCGCAATTTCGTGACACTTAGGTCCGGGATGTTTCTAGGAGTGTGCCCCGCGGGTACCTTCTAGGTCCGCCCCCTCTGGCTTAGAGTGTGCCCCGCGGGTGCCTTCTAGCCGGTTGCCGGGGGCGGATGCATCACAAATAAGCTGCATCGCAAGAGAAGGGCGAATGGTGAGGGCAAAGCACCTGCGGTTGGGAGACCCAACCAACAGCTGGCATTCTATGTCTGCTACAGTACACGACAGCACAGAAGTATCGGGGACAAGGTATTGGTGTCCACATGCTAAACCTGAGGGTGAAAACAGGCACGCTTCCAAATGCACCGACACTTGTAGCAGGTATAGGGATCCCTTGTGGACACAAACTGTCAACTAAAGTCAATACACGCGTGCTCACACGAGTGTAAGCCCTAAAAACAACCAGCGTCGGTTTCCTGGAACACCCCCGCGGCGTTCAGCACCGGAGCTGAGAGGTAAGAAAAGGAGAAAGAGAGGGAGGAGACGGCCGAGGACAAGGGAAGAAAAGGGCGACATATCAAAACAGGCAGCGAAAAAACTAAACCAGGCCGATGAGACGGAAGTCGCAGGTAGAAGTAGAGGTGGATGAACCGGTAGCGGATGTCCTTCTTGTGATAGCCGTTCCCGAAGAGGATGGAGGCCGATGGGTGGTTGGAGACGGGTACAGGTGCAACGGTACTTCCAATTGCCCGCCTGCACAACGTCCCGCTCCAGGGTCGTGCACCGAATTTGGCCGTGGACGGGGAGGGAGTCGGTGAGCTGGTGCGTGCGGGAGTCGGCGAGCTGGACAGCTCGGGAATCGGCGATCTGGTCGGCACGGGGGTCGGCGAGCTGGACCACGCCGGAATCGGTGAGCTGGGCAGCGCGGGAGTCGGCGACCTGGTCGGCATGAGAGTCGGTGATCTGGTCGACGCTGTAGTCGGCGAGTTGGTCAGTGCGGGAGTCGGCGAGCGGAGCGATGCTGGAATGGGTGGTTTGGTCGGCAAAGGAGCCAGCGAGCTGGTCGGCGCGGCAGCCGCCCCTGGATAGCGACTTCGAGAGCTGGTCCGTGCGGGAGTCGGCGATCTGGTCGGTGCGGGAGTCGGCGAGCTGGCCGGTGCTGGAATCGGTGAGCGGGGCGGCGAGGGAGGCGGTTGCATTTGAAACCACCTTTTTTCCTCACGTCGTCCTCCCGTCGGGAGCCAGAGTCTGGTGTCAGTTTGTTGGTTCGAAGCGTCTTGGTGTCAGTTTGTTGGTTCCGGGGCCGAGGCGCCTTGGTGTCGATGAGTTGGTCAGCGCGGGAGCCGGGAGGCCGGTCGATGAAGGGGCAGGCCGCGAACCGGGCGGCGCGGGAGTCGGCGAGCTGGTCGGCGAGGGGGTCGGCGAGCTGGCCGGCGCGAGAGTCAGTGACCTGGTCGGCGAGGGAGCCGCCAAGCTGTGGTCGGTGCGGCAGGTCCCGATCTGGTCGGTGCCGGAGTCAACAAGCTGGTCGCGGCGGGAGTCGGTGAGCTGATCGGCGTGGGAGCCGCCCAGTTGTTCAGCGATACCCACTCTGCCCAATTAGGCCCTACGCCAGAAGAGAGAGGGATGATAATGAGGAGGACATGCGTTTGACTTTCGCTTCGCGAGGTGAGCTGAAGTACGACGGCCACGTCGGCC